TGGCTGGGCATCATTCACATCCCTGCAGGGCAGGAGCATCCCGGGGAGGTGCCCACAGCCTGGCTGGGCACCACTGAGCCCGGGCTTGACCTTCAGCAAGGTCCAGCAGAGCCAGGTGACCTCTGGAAGGAAAACCAGCCTTGTCCCATCAAACTGGTGCTGGGAGCTGCTCCCTGCCATGCCAGTGTGGGGCTGGGCACATTTCCCCCCGCAGTTCCTCACTTTCTCAGCCGAAGACAAGTAAACACGGCTTGGGCAGGATGTTTTTGCCATCTGGCTGTCCTGGCTGTTGTACCCAGTTTTTTAATCCAGTCATTCTTTGATCCTGATGGAGAGGATGTGGGTCAGCAGTGCTGGGTGGGGAGCTTGGGGGTAGTGGAGCTGAGCTTTGGTACCTCTGGCTCAGTGCCATCAAATCCACTCCGCTCCCGAACAGGAATGCGACTCCAGGGCCAGGCAGAGCCTCTGCAAATCCTTTGGGATAAACGTTAGAAAATAGAGCACTTTAAACATTTTTGATRKAACTTTAGTCAAAGATTTTGTTTGCCTTTGCCTCGAGAAAAAGTGCTGAAAATTTCTTTCAGAAGCATTGTTCTATCAGGTGAGATCTGATAAAAACATCTCAACAGACTGGAAAAAGCACAAAAAATAAAACCATCAACAGCCATCAGTGGCCATTAACGGAACATCAGCTCCAAACCTCAGCCCTGGCTGGTCGGGAGACACCTGGTCTGAGAAAAGAAATAAGAAAGACCTAATTAGCATCAGAGGCAAAAAAAATCAAGAACCAAAAAAAAAACAAAAAAACAAATACTAAGAGCTACGAAACGTTAAAAAAAACAAAAAAAAAAACAAAAAAACAAATACTAAGAGCTACGAAACGTTAGACCAATGAACATTAAACCAGTAAAATTCTATAGATTTTGACTGTACAAAATTTGAAGAAGATCTTGTAAAATTTAAGTATCATAAAATTATTTTCTCTGCTCACCCAGGCTATGTGTGGACAAAATTATTTCTGTGGCACATCCTGCCCAGGACAATATCCTGGCCAGAAAATAAAGTAATACCTCGACTTTCTAATATGAAAATGTTGTTAGGGAGTTTTTGTTTTTCCCGCAGTTTCGGTGACATGGAGACATGGCAGGGAGACATTGAATATTGGGGCTGAAAATTGGCATTGTGGCTGCGTCACTGCCTGTGGCTGCTGCGCTCCGTGGGAAGGCAGGGAATGCCTGAAATGCATCCAGCGAGTGCCAGAGYAGGGTATTCCCTGCAGAGGGATTTTGTACATTATTTAACACCTGGATTTCCTGACAGGCTCTGCCTTCCGAGCTGTTTATTGGGGGCAGCTGCTCTGAGATGGGGGCTGGGATGTGCCCCTGTTCCCGTCCCTCATCCAGAAACCGCCCCAAGGCCGGGTCCAAACTCATCCTCTCTGAATCCTCTTCCTCCCCCTTAAACATCCCTACGTGCAGAAAGCTCCATAGTTAGGAAGGCTTTTCTAAGGAAAACACTAAAATCATCAAGTCAGCAGTGCTTAAACTGCTCTGACTGCCTCTTAAATAATCAATTCATTTTTAATTAGCTTACCACAAAAATTCCATTAAATTTAAATAAATAGACATGGCAGGAGTTCTCCAAGGCACAGCGGGCTCCGTTTAAAGAATTCTCTTTGAGTTCGTTAGGTTGGTCTTTAATCAGTTTGTCGTCCAAGTCCTTGTGTGGCCCAAGCAGGATCCTGGGCTGCTAATAAAGAGTAATGGAAGCTTCCAGGATTTCCCAGATGAATCCCAACCATCTGGCCACCATGCAGGGGTTCTGTTCTGGAGCTGATGTCTCCTGGCAGGTAGTGGGGATGGGTCATTTTTAAAGCACCTGCCTGAATCAGGACATTTTTTCACTGATTTCTCTGAGTTTTCCATCTGGAAGAAGAGAGGGAAGCAAGGAAGGGCAAATGCTCTGTTTGCTGCTGTTTCAGTGAGCTGGACTGCCCCCCAAAAGGTGTGAGAGCCCCTGAGAGCTGTGAGCCCCTCTGTCCTTTTGGACTGCTCTGGAATTTAGCTTTTTTGCGTGCCTTGGGAGCCTGTAAGAAATTTGGGGAGGGACTTTTGACAGAGAATGTAGWGACAGGACAAAGGGGAATGGCAGAGGGCAGGGATGGATGGGATATTKGGAAGGAATTGTTCCCTGGGAGGGTGGGGAGGCCCTGGCACAGGGTGCCCAGAGCAGCTGTGGCTGCCCCTGGATCCCTGGCAGTGCCCAAGGCCAGGCTGGACATTGGGGCTGGGAGCAGCCTGGGACAGTGGGAGGT